ATTAAAACGGGAGTCGATGCTGTAAAAAAAAAAAAGAAAAGAAGGTGAAAATGGAAGAGAGTGTGAAGAGAACGATAGGCGTGGAAGGGATGACCTCGACACTGGGATCGCAAATTAATTGAATCGGTATGTAATTTGTATGGCGTGCGATCCTGCTTCTTAATTATGCCCGTCTCGCTGGGTGATGAAGGGCCTAGCCGTTATGACCGTTCGTGATCGGTTATGGAGCATTCCGAAATCGGTAATTACTGCCTCTGACACGGTTATCAGCCTTCTTGTTGCTCGTCGACTGTCAACCGGGATGGATATTAATTACTTTATACATGATCGACGCCCAATCGTCTTTACATTGCCTGCAAGTCACGTTCTGATTGAGCTGGAAGATTAGATTTTGAGGTTAGGTGTGCTCTTTAACTCTTAAGGGTCTAAGTAATTTGAATTTTGAATAATTGAATATCTTTTTCTTTTTGGTGAAATTCTTATTGTTGTTAAATTGTTATGCATTTTTGCAAGAATTATATTGAATAGAGAGGTTAGATTTTGAGGTTAGGTATAATTTTTAAAAAGTATTTCAAAATTTTCAAATATCAATATTAATAAAATTTTAAATATTTTATAATTAGTTACAAATAATTACAATTAGAATACAATTTAAAAAAATTCACGAAAGATTTTAATGATTTTGTTTTTAATTATAAATTTCCGGAGTTTGAAACATCAATGTTTGATGCAGAGGAAAATATATTTAATTTAAAGAAAAAAATTTGGTATAATATTAGATTTGAATCAATAACATTTCGTAAAAGAAATAATCCTTAAAAAAATATGGATTTATTTCATATAACGTTTAAATTCCTCTTCTTATTATTATCAGTTTAGAAACATGATTACATCTTCATTCTAGTTTATGATAACTCGTTTTTGCGTATTCCATTCGGTGAAGCAGTTTACACAGCCTCTTTAATACTTAACTCGATGCCATTAAAATTACATTAACAATGATTAATGATAATTAACACGTCACGATGATTAATACGCGCTTTAATTCACGTAAATTAACCACGCCGTCATTGTAATTATCCTTTCAAGATATTTTATCGCATCAACATAGTTGTACAATGTATAAAATTATTCATCAATCATCTCCTCGATCTCTCAATTTCTGTCTCTAAATGCCTAAAATTCCTTAGTCAATTATTTCTTTTTTTATCACATTTTTCCCTATCTATATTTTTCATATACCATTTCTTAATTCTAAATGAAGCAACATTCAAATTGAACCGCACCAGTTACATCACCACATCATCCCAACCCCTTCCAAAACAACAACAAATAAATTCCCAATTCTTCCAACGTAACTTTTAAACGTATTCCCCCGTATTTAAGAGCCGTCCACGGATGTATTCCGTACACGTCGTCACGTCGTTTAAAAAAAAAAAAAAAAAAAAAAAAAAACACGCGTGAGAAGTCCTTTCTCACACACACAGTTTGTAAAAGCACCTACCGCGTAAATATACAAAGACCGTGAGAGAGGCCGGCGGACGGTTACTAATTCGGTGAAGTTTTCTCATTTGGTGGAAATTAATGTCGGACTATTTGTCCGGGCAGACGCATGGGACGGGTGAAAAGAGTCCGAACGATGTATGAAACCGGCAAAAATAAAGCCTCCGCTCCCGCGAATGTACTCCTTTCTCTCTTTATTTTTTTTTTTCCCCCTCCTCCCCTTTCCTTTCCTTTCTTTTTTCTCTTTTTATTTTCTTTTTTTTTTGTTCCACCACTGTCCGACGATCTCTAGCGCTCGTTTGTTACGCCGACTTCTCGAGTACCGATGTAAAAGGCTTAAAGGTCTTTGCCGCCGGGAATAATAAACTTTGCCGGGCTTCAGGGAATTCATGGCGGGGCCACCGGGCGAAATTAAGTCGAAGAAGTTCCCCCGGAATTCTTTGTTCCACCATGCTTTTGCCCCTATCCGACTCGATTAATGAAAGATGATTCCGTGTTTGGGAGCCGGTTGGATTTGACGGTTAGCATTTTCCGTGATTGAAATATTCTCCAAGGGATTAAAATTTTGATACTTATTGCGTTTTTTTTTAGATTAAATTTGATTTTGATCGAGGAGGAGGTCGCTGTAGAAGATTTCGAACTTCAGTTTATCTTTATCAGACTTGATTAATAAAATTTGACGATGATGATGATGAGGATAAATTGTGTTTTTGAATTGTTAATCGATTAATTTTTTTTAGTAATTAATTATTCCGTTCCTTTTTAATGTTGAGACAAAGTAATAATTTTTCTAAGTAGTTTTTTTTTAATTTCTTTGAAATTATCGCAAATGGATTTGCACTCTTCAAGATGCTCAATTGTTGTATCAACGAAGTAGATACTGTAAATGTTGGAAATTTGGAATAATATTATAATATAAAATACATATATTATTATTTATATCTTTTCAGAAAATCAACATCGATCTTTCTATCTTTGAAGAATTTATTTGATAAATGATAACGCACTTTATGCAATAAATAGATTACAAATTCGTTTATTTGATAACAACTTTACTTCATTATTTACTAATTAACGTTCCAAATTATGGTGTATAAAATACAATCATATTAATTTAATTAATAATTGATTATGATTGACCACAAATATGTATCAAAAGCATAACATCCATGTTGATTTTCCATCGTAAATATTGATATTTTAAATATTATGAATCGAATGTTGCACAATGTTATAGAATATAACTATTAATAATTGATAATAAACATTCGAGATAAGAATTTGATTAAAAATTATCACATATGTTTTCAATGTATTACAAAAGAAATATACACTCATTTCCATCATTTTCTTCAACAATACCAATTTATCGTACAAATTTCTTTCTTTTTTTTTTTTTTTGGAAATCAACTTTAAACAACTCTGCTTTCTCTGCGTTTTTGACCACGTTGTTACGAATTATTTTTTCTCCCAACTCTGGATTCCTCATCTGAATCGCCATGAATTATCGAAAAATGGCACAAACTACGTCAAAACTGTATTTCCATCGTACAGAAGATCCTTCAAGATAGCTTCTTTCGTGTTAACAAGGAGATTAACGAGTGACAACACGTCTCGATTCATCGTGGCTTCATTTTTGATAAGAAATGTTTGCAGTTGAAATTCCACGATTCGTGCAACTCTGGAAAAACATATCAAGAAGATAGAGAAAAACTTTTCGACTTCTGGACGTCGTTTTCACAGTTTCTAACCTCTTCGCAACGAAGTTTTTAGTTTCAGATTAGTTTTAGACTTGAAATTCTACGAGTAATAATTCTGTAACTTGCTGAAATTGAAAATCTTCTTGAAAATCTTGTTAATATTACTTCCTTGTACAATCAAATTTTTATTAAGACACTTATATGATAATGGATGTCAATTACGTTCAAACAAGAGGATATCATATATCATGATGATATACATAAGTATTTAATGTAAATAATTTATTAAACTTGTGGATACAATATATTTTTGGTACGCCTTATCTTGGAGTGAAATGAATATATTTAAAAATTAAATTAAAATTTTCACGAAATAAAATTGTTTAAAGTTATATAAAAAATTATGAGATAACGAAATATATTTACGATTTTTCGTATCTTCTATAAAATATATTAATTCACGTTACGTACAAAGATTTATGATATTTTAAATTTACATAATAATAATAATAATAATAATAATAAATTATTTTCTTTTAGTTATTTTTCAAATTTAATTTTACCATACGCGATAATAGGATTTAATATTACGACGAGGTGATTTTATATAAATATATTTCGAATAATTTAACTAATTTTCTAAAATATATGTCAGAAACTAAAATATCCATTTTATTTAATAACATTCAATCAAATTTCTGAGAACATTTATTTAATTTGATACATTTTAAATATGAAAACATCAAAACATCAAATGAAGTTACAACTTGTAGTAATGATTTAGAATTCGAAATCGAGATACGAGATATTATAATAAATATTTTAAAAATTAATTGTCTGAAAATCCTATTTACAAACGAATGAAAAATTTCATCCATGATAATCATCCCAGTTTCGCAATAAGTCTTCAAAAATTGCCCATTCCAAAAACTTCCCGCCATTAATTTACTCTATCCTCTTACACCTCAACAACCATGTCACCACGCATCACGTGTATCCCCTTAACAATCTCATAAATAAAAAAGAAAAAAAAAACAAAAAACCACCTCCGAAACGCGAAACGAGCACATTTCACGAATGAAAACGAACAATCCATCATCCTCATCCCACGCGTACTACAAAAACACATTTAATCCCAAACCGTCTCCTCCTCCACCACCGACTAACTAAAAACCAGAAACTCGATCGATCTTTCATTTAACGCGTACAACCTCAATTACTCTACACCAGGTTTAATCAAACGTCAATTACCAACCACTGCAATAACAATCGCTCTTTAACGATTTAACCTTTCTCTCTCTCTCTCTCTCTCTCTGTCTCTGTCTCTCTCTCATTCTCCTCAGATAAGAAACAATGGGAAGAAGTTGAGGTTAGGAGAAGCAAAATGGCCGCGTTTTGCACAGAAGTCTCGTCGTAAATCGCGTTAGGGTTACTTACGATCTCTCTTTATGCGATCGCAGCGCTCCAATCGTCTCGTTATTGTTAGAGATATGCGATGAGAAAGAGAGACAGAGGAGAGGAGAGAGAGAGAGAGAGGGGTTTGATTGCAACTTTATCCCGATTTCGTTGCATTTTCGTAAATGGCCACATCGTTTCGCATTCATCCAAAGTTTTTACACAGACAAAGCAAGGAACTTATCCACGCGGCTTTGAACTAACCAGAGTTTCTTTGTCTGCGATTCGCACACCCGGAGGACAAGTGCGCCATCATATAAAATTCGGAGTTAAGTATAAACGAAAATGGTGCGCGTGGAACGAGCGGAATCGCGGCAGGCCAACATCTCGCTCGCTCTTTGAAGTCGTTTTTCTTATGCTTCTGGCTGGGACGTCTTCGTAAATGGAATTTCACGGTTCAGATTTTCGTTCGACGATTAGTTTTTTTTTATTATTTGATCATGCACAATATTGTAGAATGATTTCCATGGAATGGGAAAATGTTTGGGTTTTCTTTTCTTTGTAAATGGAATGGTTATAATTTCTTCTTCTTTTTTTTAAACATTTCTAGTATTTTGTTATTAATTGAATTGCGAAAAGTACTTAAATATTGATTAAAAATGGAAATTTGTAATATACTTTTTCAATTTTAAGATGCTTTTGTAAGGCATTTAGATTTTAAATGTAATTTAGATCTTGAAATAGAATAATTTATTTGATATTGTTTGCTGACTTTGTTTTTTATTATTACTTAAGAAATAAGATGGAATGGATTTCTAAAAATGATTTCTAAATATATATGAATTTTTCGATTTCTGATAATTCTTATTAAAATATAAATTTTCATCGTTGAAAAAGTCAATTTATTATAAAAGAACAAGTAACAAAGCATTGCAAGCTTTCGTGAAAATAATGCTTTCCGCTTTTCTATTATATTTGTGAAACCATTTCTTAAAAAAATCTATACTCTCTCCCATTATAAAGACGCCAATGGAATTGCTATACGCCATTGTCAACAGCGAGCATTGTGCGCTCCGTTTTGCTCTGAAATAAAGGTATTTTCCTAACCATTTTAACCAACTTTCCGTCCTTTTTGCTGTTTAAGCAATAGAATCGCTTCGTTAACAATATTAAACGAGATTATTTCGTGTTCATATCGTTGGGAAAAAAGCGTGCATTGATTTCAGTAACTTTTATTTTGAAGACTTTGAAGTCTTACCACTTATAAAATTGAAAATAATCGTGTATAAAATCTTTAATATGAAAACGATTTCTTCCTTTATCCTCGTGATATTCAATTTTCATTTTTCCCCATCTTCTTTTTTTCCATTCTCCTACTTTCATTCGTTCAATTTTCTTTAATCTCAACCTTTTCATTTTTGTCTATTTCCTCTTGCCATTATTTCTTTCATTTGTTATTTCTCGATCTTCGTTTCCCCATTTTCCTCTCGATAATTTCATTATTCATTTCCTCATTCTTTTGCCCTTTTCTATGCCCCATTTACTACTTCTCCATTTCTTATTGGAAAAAAAGGAAAAAGATCTTTCCTCTTCGATTAATTCTCTCACCATTTTTCTCGATTCGAGAAAAATAGTAAACGTATGTATTTCTAAAAATAAATTCCTAAAGATATTTAGTGGATATCTAAAATTGTGGATAGTAGCAAAAATCTTATGTAAGATGGTGCAATAATTTTGAATATTTCCACTATTTCTAAAGATACAGAAGAATTTTATTTATAAAAATTGAAGGATATTGAGAATATCCATACAATAATTTCTTCTTCATATAAGATTTCAAAGCCATCTTCATTTTTTAAATTATATAATGCTATATTTTTTCATTCCCACCGAAAATCTTGTGTTCAAATATTACAATTTCTCGTACAAGGTTATTTCATAAAAGATAAAAGATATAAAACAAAGATGGTGGCTTCGAGATTTCGAACAATATATCATTATATAAATAAAATAAAATGAAACAATGTAACAAATACAAACCATAAAGCTAATGATTACGATTATTGATATATCCTGACATATAAACTCTAATAATTACGCAGAAATTCAAGAATTTTCTTTTTTTTTTTTTATTTCATTTCTTCAAATCACGAAAAACCAGTAACCAGATACCAATACGAACAACAAAGCTTTCGTTATGCATGCACATACTTCAACCTTATTATTTTCTCGTTTTCGATTCTCTTGGTGCATACAGTTTACGTAACACGTTACAAGGCATATAATATTCGAAAGCAGTGGTCGTCCAATATATACCTTAGGCTTAAACACTTTCCTTTATACGTTCGAGACCCCTTGTTGTTTAACAATCCACCGTGACGAAACGTTTTGCAAAGCTGTCGTTATGGAGAGGAGACGACTCGCATCGATTCGTATCGGCAAACAAAGGTCGAGGACTGAGGACACACCACACACACCGTTTCCTCCAGCCGCAGATATCCGTTATAATAAGCGGTGCAATGTAATACGTAGTCGGTTTTCTAAGCCGGTAGATCCTCGTCGTTCAAACGGGGGAGCGTGGGCCGAGTGCTCTTTCGTGGTCGCGCGGTAATACGATAGAATTGTGCCAATGGCGTGTATCGCTCGGTGCAAAAGTTCGTGCGGCTTTGGAAAATCTTGCTTCGTCACGTCGAATGAGTCTTGATGCTCAGCCATCGATCCGTGGATTCGTATTACCGAATCGAACTTCGAAAAATCGATTCGAACGGTTCGATTCGCTTTTTATTCCTTTGGATTTTGAATTGCGCGCGTTCTGGGTCACGTGTTCCAGTAAAGCGATGGCGGCTCCGTATGTGTAATATAATGGGCAATAATTTCTTTTCTTTTTCTATTCACGAACGGTTGTCTTTAATAGTTACTCGTTAAAATTTTATTATCCCATTAATTTTGATATTCTTATTTATGCTCTTTTTTTTCCTGCTGAATCTGAATTTGATCAAAAAATTGGTTTGGAAATTATTATTTTCATCTCGTGGAGGAGTTACAGACATCGTAGAGAACTTTTAGGTTTTTGAATTCTTGCAAAATTTGAAACTTCAATTTTGAGAATTGTTTCTTTCGTCATTTTAATGAAACTTTTGACATATAACTTTTAAAATATAATCATTTTTAATATAAAAGGAAAAATATATAACATGAAAATTCTTGAATATTTTAAAAGTATATATTTTTCCAGTAAAAATTGCGTGTATTTCTGTTCGAAGAATTATAGGAAATATCGAAAATTGAAAGAAGATTGATAATCACGAATAGATACCAATAACATACTAACTTTTAATTCAATATACGTTTTATTAAACTACTCGTTCATTACCAAATATTAAATTCTTATAAAGAATGGAATATACGTATTAAATTAATGATTCTTTTATTATTTATAAGTACATGTCACGTATATAATGATATATATGACCTACATTATGAAGTTATGGAAAAAGATTGAATAGAATTGCTTGTTGATCACTGTGTTAATCACTATGCAATTAGGCCAACTTAATGATTCAACTTCTATAAAAGATCATCCATAACCTATGCACTTGTCTCTTGTATAAATATTTTAATGTAAATTATACACTTTTACAAAAGGCAGAAACAAGTATATTTTATTGCATTTTTATTCGTGACTGGATATTATTTTCTAAATTAGTATCCATCTTCATCTTTTGCTATTCATTTTTTTTTCTTTTTCTTTATTTCAAAACATGCCTTCTTCTATTATTATCTTACTGTCAA